TGTAGACTTTGAATTTCGTATGTTCAAGAAGACAAAGTGTGATTAAGCACCCTGCATCTGATGGCCAATGAAAACTAAGACCGGAAAGAACGCCCACCCACTGAGGTAAAAAGTCAAATAATTACAAACTCTCGACTACACTACAAGACTTGTAAAACAGAAACAGAAACAATATTTTAAGAACTAATTCTGAACTAATAATTCCCATATCCTGCATTTCTGATAAAAAAAAAGAAAAAAAGAATGGAAACACTTTGACAGACCTATTATCTAATTTTTTTTTTTTTTCCATATATATAATTTTATAGTATTAGGTATTATATTTTAGATGATTAGGATGAAAGTACTGACAAGGCCAGGTACATGAGAGAGTTGGTCACAATACTCTTATCTTTCTCTTTCTTTTTTTCCATCATTTTTTGGAAAGTAACGGTTTCTTTTCTGCACCCTTTTATCCGGAGGTAATTGAAATCTCTCTTCTTTTTTTTAAGTAAAATATTTTTTTACAGAATGACTTGAATACTGAATCTCATTATAAAGTTGTTGAAAAACTTGTTTCTGTATTTGTACAGGTTGTGATTTTTGGTCCATGAAGATGGAATTAGTCTCATTTTATATTTAAAAAGGCTTTCCAAAATTATATTCATTAAAAAGAAAAGTCTTAACAAGCCTTTTCTCTCTTATGAGAAAGATATATGAAAATGTAAGAAAGTGGAATGGACATGTTAACTTTTGTTTCTGAATAAAAGTAGACCAGTCCCTTCTTCATTAGCCAAAAAAGACGACCTGAACAAGAACAAGAACAAGGAAATGTGAAACATTTGCATCTGAAAGTCTACACAACTAGTATATATTTTCATTGAAACCTCCACCTTCATCTATGGCATATCCTTTTGTTAACATTTTTCTTTGTTTCTCTCTCCATTTCAGTCATCATCTTCATTTTCATCATCATCAATTATCTTTTATCATAATTGTCATTACCTTCATCTTTATCTTATTTACATTCTTCACATTCACTTTCTTCTTTACTTAAATAGGTCAAAATTATTGACCTGTGAAGATGGGAATGTCTTATTCAATTGAGGGACACAAGTCAAGATGAGTCCATTTTCCTTTCCAACCCTGTATTCATGCGCAAGCTCTCCAAACTTGGTTATTTTTGTAAATAATAAAAAAGTTCAATTTATTGCATTCATTAGAAAATTATTTAAGTATAACAAACACACTAGTCTTTCTAAAGAAAGAAAGATGTAATCATGACATACCTATCCTAAAAGAAAGAAAAGATATATATATATATATATATATATATATATATATATATATATATATATATATATATATATATATATATATATATTAATTATGGTAAATGCATTGTGACATTGGAACAGTGGACATGAAATTTTTCTCTATGCTAAAGGAAGTAAGAAATTTTTATATTGAAAAAAATCCAAATTTTGCATTTTCCATTCAATTTAAGAGATGGTCCCTTTCATTTGAACCAGTGTTGCCTTGTAAAGACATTTGGAAAACCCAATCAGAAGAAAGCCTCTTGCCAGATTTTTTATTTTTTATGTGTCAGTCTGTCTTTCTGTTTTCCTTCATTTCAGTTCCCTTTCTCCCATTTTAAGTTTAGAGGGTTATGCATACACAGACTCTTGTCGGGAAGATTTTGGTTGTCACCAATGAGCAGGTATTTGCCGTCAACCTTTTGCATATAGAAAGATGCCCATTCATTTGGCCCGTTCCTGTCATCCACCACCGTCATGTTTAGCTCATAATTAGAGAATGGAAAGACTTGTCCAAATCTATGCCATGCCATGGGTCCACTAGCGTTGTGAAATAATCCAACTTTAAGAGATCCAAACTCTGCAAACAAAAAAAATCTTGTTATCCTAGAATGAGCAATAACACTTATCATAAAGCAACCAATTGAACAAACACTATTAGGAAAGAAACTATTTTTTGGTAAAAGAACAAATGTAGAATAATCACTTTTCTCTTCAAATACTGAAGTTATGATATGGAAACGTTCCCATGTGTCAATGACAGGGTTAGACTCCTTACTGCATTCATGTTTGTAACTTCTTATGTATCTAAAACCGTCAATTTCAAGGTCATTGTGACGTCCCTCATCTGTAATCAAAAAAGAAAAAGTGTGATTAAAATTTTTATGACGTTAAAAATCCTGCTGAAATTAACTGCTACTTTTTAAATTGATATAGCTGCAGATGTTCTTTGTTGTTATTGGTTATTATTATTATCACCATTATCATAATTGTTATGATCACTGTCATTAAGACTATTATTTGATTATTGTTTTCATTATATTGATAATGATGATATTGATAAAAAACAGTAATGATAGTGTGTTGTTGTTATTATAATTATTATTTTATTATTATTATTATTATTATTATTATTATTATTATTATTATTATTATTATTATTATAACATTATCATTACCATTATCAGCACCATTATTATTATCATTGTCATCATTATGATCATCATATAACGATAATATTGTTATGATGATTTCGATGGTGATAATGACAACAATGATAATTATTATAAAAGCTACTTGTGGCCACCCAAGAAATCTTGAGGACCTAGGCCGATAATTTTCTATATTACCTTCGCATTTTGGTATCGTTGGATTCCTCTCACTCTGTACAATCCCAATATGTAGGTTTCATTGCGCAGAAACACCCCGTTAGCGGCAAACTTGGCCCCGATAGCAGGGCCGACGATGTCGGAGCGGCGGACGGAACATAGAAAATTACCTTAATATAACCCACAGTGAAAATAACATGGTTATTCACATGACCTCCCATTGCAGCCCCCTGCGTACCCCCTGGGGGGGCTGCCGCCCCCCAACCCCCGCTGAGGAAACAAGAATCCACCACGCTTTTACGGCAAGATAGAGCGCACACCAACTAGATGCATCAAAAAAGGCGCAAAACCCGCCGAGCCGACGAGGACGGGCCACCGCCGCTCTCCTGTTCCAAGGTCTATATAAGTACTTATATAGACCTTGTTCTGTTCATGGTATGCCTTGTTCATCCTGATTATACTACAATCGTCTCTGTATACAATGCTGAATATGTAAAGGTTAGTATGCTGATTCAGAGGGAATATTACGAGGTAATTGTAATATTACGTCCGCCGCTCCGACATTTGTGTAACGCTCTAGCCTGCCGTGAATACGTAGTCGTTTTGTTTTCTCGGCGGGGGTGTTGGGGGGCGGTAGCCCCCCCCCAGGGAGGGTCGCAGGGGGCACAGCCCCCTGCAATGGAAAGTCATGTGAATAACCATGGTTATTTTCAGTGTTATATTATTAGTGTTATTTAACCCCGCGTTTTCCCTGGAACCTTCCATGCCCTCCCTTGCTATCGGGGCCAAGTTTGTCGCAAACGGGGGGTTTCCGCGCAATAAAAGCTATATATTTGCAATGTGGACAGTGAGAGGAATCCAACGATACCAAAATCGTCGATATCGGAGAGGCGAAGGTAATACAGAAAATTACCCCTAAGCCAAACTATGGAGCATCTCAGAGCTATGGATACACTTTGGCTTTGTACCATCTACTGACCTCAGGTTCCTAAGGGTAAGTGGGCGGTCCAGGGCCCAGATTCTCAAATGCGTAAAGGCGCCGTATCTCCTTAAGGCGCCTTAACTTACGGCCGAGATATCTTGCATACACATACACAGAGCAAGGGACCCGCCATATTGGTGCGAGTTAAGACGCCTTAGGTTACGGCAGGGGGAGAGCAGCCTTCAGCGATTTACGGCGGGTGGAAATCAACTCTCTTCGCTCTTGTCTAAGGGAAATACAGCAGGACGGTTAAGGCCTCCAGCGCGCCTTAACTTAAGGCTCTTTTGAGAATCCAGGCCCAGGGGCCGGATTCTCAAAAGAGCCATAAGTTAAGGCGCGCTGGAGGCCTTAACCGTCCTGCGGCGACCTAAGTTAAGGCCCGTCAAAGGCGCCGTATCTCGGACTTAGCTTCGTATGCTCAAACGTTTTTTAAGGCGCCTTATTACTGCCTGAAGTCCCGCAGCGCCGCAAATCACTTCAGGCGTCGGATCTTCGGTGGCCAATCACAGCTGCCGTTTCAGGCGGTTCTTAGGGTATCTTGACCAATCACAAGCCGTAAATGCCAATCAGCTGATTTCGTAAACACAACGCTGTGTCCAGCCCGTGGCATGATAAAACTTTTTAACAAAATTGGTATTATTGAAAATTATTGGTATTATTGTTATTACTACAAATGCAACCCCACACCTAATTTAAAGATTCTGATCTTACCCCGTGGTAGTACACATCATTCTAAGAATTTGCCTCTATACCATTTTCTGCGCAAATTGATAATACCGGTGTTACAGAGGGTAAAAAATTTACGATTTACAGGAGCCGCAGTAATCTTACGCCTACGCCGCGACAACTGACAAAAAGTAGTTAAGAGTGACGGAAAATCAGACTGAATTGTAGCGGATGACGTGGGCAAGGGAAATCATATGAGCCAATTAGATTCGAGCGTGAACGTGATGTGAACATAGACACTCAGTAGAACCAATCAGATATGGGATAGGTCATCACGTGGCAAAAGAAATGTGTCAATATACTATGTTTGCTAGTATTCTACCGATATATCTCGAAATTACCCCCCAAATTAACTGATATGTATCATGCCCTCCCCAACTATCGGGGCCGATATCGTAGTTATACTTCGTTTGCGAAGGAAATGAGCGCTAGATTCGCTCGGAACACGACGAAAGCTATTACAAATTTATTCTATTCACCCAAAAAACAGAGTTTGGCTCCATCTATCGTGAAAAGCAAATCACAGTTATGTTGGAATACTAAACTTGTTGCCTTATCTAGTAGTCCACAATTGGTTTATGTACACCTAATGACACTATAATTGAGTAAAATACAAACTGTAATGTTGCATTAATTGTAGGGCTGAAAAATGTCATTTATGCTTCGCCG